TTATAATAATCGATAATGTTACATGTTTATTTTATTCCACCTTATTTCTTTGGCAGAGGGCATTGAGCTGCTGGGTTATCAAAGATATGGAACTGTTCAAGGACCGAGAATAGGAAAAGAACGAATCAACGGATCAGCCATAAAAGACAACGACACATTCATGTAAGTTACAAAAAAAAACTTTGTATAAGTACTTATGATATTTTATAATAATACATAAACATAATGAATTATCATGTCCAATATAGCACAGCATACACTCTACAAAAAAAGGTCTTGCGTTGATGGTAGTAAAGTTTCATTTAAAAGACATCGAAAATTATTTAATCCAAGTGCTTACATTGTCTAACTTTAATTACAAAAGCGTGCTTTGTCTTGGTAACTAGGTACTTTGTGCTTGAACTCTTTCTGCGATCTCGTTCAAAGCTAAACTAGACTCAATATGAGAAAAGATATTTTCTTTCCCATCTATGAAATTAAAGGAGTCGGGAAATAGTAAAAGATAAATGACTAGGTCCTCAATGCAATATTGTTTTTTGTGAGTTGATGTTACTCCGTGATCATGTCGCTTGCAACAACAGACTCACAAAAAATAAGGTACATGGTACCAATTCCGCTTATAACTAAAATGTTAGTGACCATGAAAGTTTAAAACTATAAGACGGTAAATGTGGTTTCAGCAAGCACACGGCGGTGTCGCGCGCCAAGAGTACGGCGTCAGCGCAGCAGCCGCTCAGCTTCGAGCACAAGTTCAACCTCGACAGGCAGATGCTCGACCATGAAGAGGTAACACTTCTATCTTTATCATGCCATTTCAATGTTATCATATCATTTTCTAAGCACGCGGTTCTGTACCTTTATAAGGATAGCAAACTTATTCAAATGAACTGCCTGATTACCATAATCTAACAGTGCCGGAGCCCCAGGGAGACCTTTTTCGCTGCAAAACACAACACTACTACACAATAATGTCTTTTCTAAGTACCTATTTAGAATCTCTTGTAACCAATTAGTCTAAATACCCACCTGATACTAAGAAACACAGATTGAGAGCATATCATGCGTAATACTCGTTTCCCGTAAAATCCTTCAAAATCACGAATTCTTTTGGTTTTGGTCTCAGGAATGGCCTGAGGACGAGAATTGCGTAGACATCGAAAGAGTCCCTGAGGAAAGAAGGATTTATAGTTTTTCAAGAGCATTAGTAGTCGTGTCACGTGAAATCCTTCAATATCAATTCTGGTTGGTTTTGCTCTCAAGGTTAACTGGAGGAAGAGATTAAAAAAACATAAATTTAAAAAATCAAAAAACCCGACTGCTTAATTATACTTCAAATAAAAACTGAAAAGAAAAAAACAAGTCCAGTAGTCTATAATTCTGTTAATAAGAAACAAAGCTACTTTAACAGTCGGGACCCATTAGATATTCAAGATTACATTATATTTTTCAACAGTGGGTCCCGACTGTTAAAGTAGCTTTGTTTCTTATTAACAGAATTATAGACTACTGGACTTGTTTTTTTCTTTTCAGTTTTTATTTGAAGTATAATTAAGCAGTCGGGTTTTTTGATTTTTTAAATTTATGTTTTTTATTTCACACTTTTTAGTTAGTTAGTGTTTTAAGACGGTATATACCGTAGTCTTGTTACTTCAGTAAGGGAATTAATACCTTGCGTCGGTCTAAAAGATTGATTTATTAAGACATATAGAGACTTTACCAGCGAGGTCAAGGCTACAATCAATTTTCGCAAAAATGTGTGAAGTTAAATTAAGTCGTTGCATGAATATCTCTAATGTATGTAAATTTTATAGTAAACTAGCACTTACTCAAAAAGTTATCTTTTTGTTATGTTTTTTTTAATATTTTAGCAGTAAATATAAAATTCATTTACTTTTATTCGTCGACTATTTAAAATTAATAGTGGCTGCATTGTCATGTCAATGCCGGACGACTAAGATTGTGATATACACCAATGCAGTGTCAGTCCCTAGTGTCATAATTTGATATACCTACATAATTCACAGAAACCCAATATTTTTGGCTTAGCCAGAAGTTAACTTCAAATGTTTTTAATCACCCTATATACAATACCAATCAATGACGTTTATGTCGCAGGTTGAAGAAAGCAGTAATTCCCGTTTGTTGTTTTGGACAATGGTGGCAACTGCCTTAGATCACTAAATTAAATAATTGTACAATCACCAAAGCAAAGTTTATAATATTTGATTTAACTAAAGGCGCATAATAAAATTTTCATCCCACCACCTCGGAAAGTGTAATTTTGCGCTTCGAAATCTGGCTGGAAAATTCTATTTTATTCGCTTGAGCGGCAAAGTAGATTTGAATTTAGAACATCACATATAATGAGTACTCAATATAATTGTAAATTCAAAACGTCATTAAACCTATTTAATGTAACCTCTATGGTGCCAAATTTATGATTAGAACTTTTTAAATTGTGAAAAAATTTAAATTTGGAACCTTCTTGGTTTCTTTGTTTTATTTGCGTGCTTCGCGCCATTCTAGTTTTTCACGTTTTATTGCTTAAATATTTTGTCATTATAAATTGTTTTCTTTTTCATTTTGTCATTTCCTCGCTGAGGTGGGATGAAAAGTTACGTATTGCACTCGAGTGGAAAGATTTTTCACCTTGTGCTCGTTTGTTTCCCTCGCTGACGCTCAGGATTCTAATTTAGAATCACTCGCTGCGCTCGTGATTCAACTTTAGAATCCTTCGCTTGCTCGGTCATCCAAATCGAGCACGCGGTTAAAAAGGAACTTTCCACTCTTGTATAATAAATAACTATTTCATAACGTTAGGTAGAGCACCATAGCAATCTCATTTATTATCAATTTATAGTTCTCTTTGTAGTTTTCTTCTAAAGCGTTCACATATAACAGGTCAAAGACTTTGTGATCGACCCTTTTTTATTGGTAGTGTAGAGCTCGAATGAAGAGTACTCCCAGTAGTGCAATCATGGCAATTATTTTCCAAATTTTTGTTTTGTTTAAAAAAATACCGAATATCGTATCACTGTTAAGCATAAATGCTAAGTAACTTTTACAAATATAATCAAATAAACCTATTACTTACTTTATTTTTAAAGCTTTTCCATCAATAAAATACTTATCTTATCCTAACTATCTATACTAATATTATAAAGAGGCAAGATTTGTATGTTTGTAACAAATAATCTGTTAAACTACTGAACCGGTTTCAAATATTAATTCATCATAAAGTAGCTACATTATTTATTATTACATTTTTCTTTATTTAAATACATTTTGTCCGAGTGACACAGGCTATATTTTATCCCGATAAATAAATTTCGCCCGTACAATGCCCGGGTGGATCATTAGTAAGTATAATATAATATTATAGATGCGAAAGTGAGTTTGTTTGTTGCGCTTCCGTGCCCTAATAGCTAAATCGAATATAATGAATTCCCATATAGTAGATGGGAACTTGGTTCTTAGCTACAACATCGCAATACTTATAGGCGTAGGGTGATGAAAGGGATGATTTACCTATAAAAATCTACATTATTTACTTTGAATTTTGCAGAATTATTACAAAACCAATATTATCGGGAGCTAAAGATTAATAAATACACGGATTCCAATAACTTACGTATGTACTTACTAGCGAAAAATGGGTTATTTGTCATTATATTAAGTAAACCTTTTTTGTAACATTAAGTAATATCGTTAAAAAAATGAAAAACAGTAAAATTCTGAGTTTTTCATTAAAATTCAATAATCATAAATACCTATTATGATAATATATTTTTCATCATTTAATAAGAAGGAACTGTATCACAGTTTCATTGTTAGTGCTTCGTATAGCATCAGATACTGCGAATAGCCCATTTTTTTTTCTTTTACATAGTACACCGCACTATCAAAGTGTTAGTGCGTTGTAACTTTTTAAATATTTGTCGAACTGACATAGTGTAAAAAGCAAAGTTTATCGTCTTTAAATATCAAAAGCGATAAAAGTATTTGTTTTGATAAAAAATGATTTGTTAATACAAAATGTGCATTTTGGAAATCGATATCAAATAATATTTTAGTTTTGATTCACTATTTTAGCGGTAATGACTTACACATTAAAAATAGATATATGGTGTCACAGACTTTTTTTTAGAACTATTTAAGAGATACATTTTTACTCTACATTACATTCATGTAACTTTTATTGTTTTTGCAGTGCAGGCCAAAATGGCTCGCAGATGGGAGTTTTTTTTCCGTCTTATGTGACACTTATTGTTATATATTGGCCAATTCACTCAATAAGTACATAAATTATTATATATATGTAATTATCATATATGCGCTATATTACTGTTAAGTTTCATTAAAATCCATTCAGTATTTTTTAGGTGAAAGAGTAACAAAGATCCATACAAACGTAAGATTGAAATTAAAAGCGTAAGTGGTTAATATACAACTTTAAAGCGTTGTAGATCCTAAACAATCTTATTAAATGAAAAATGGTGTTAGAAACCTAAATATGATTTTTGATTATCTAGACAGTGATACCCTACTCGACATATTTTGTCAACTTATTTTTTTTACTTCGTCACAATATGGCGCCCAATTTTGCCCATATTGAATTTTAATCACTATCATATCTTTAGTAGCACTCCCATAATTGAGACGAATCGATTAATGTATGAATCATCAATATCGGTCCAGGCGTTTGGTCTCTAGTGTGCCACAAAGGAACAAACATACATATATAGACTGTTAAACACATAACCCTGTCTGCGCGTCGCGCTTCGCGCTCTTGCATTGCGCAGCCGGGTAAAAAGAAGGATAGATAGCGTGTCAAGCGCATAGGTTTCTTGTGAAATCTTTAAAAATCATCAAGTATTTTGTTTTGCTCTTAGGATTAACTGGAGGAGCATTTATAATTAAAAGAAGGATAGATATGGTGTCAAGCGCTTTGGTTTCTTATGAAATCCCTAAAAATCACCTTATTTTGGTTTTCCTTTCAGGAATGGCCTGAAGACGAGAGTTGCGTGGATATCGAGAGCGTGCCGGAGCCACAGCTGAAGCGCCTGCCGCCGCTACTGTGGCTGGAGCTCACCGCGCTTTTCGACCGCTACTCGCTGCCCTTCCACAAACGGAAACCGCCAAAGAAGAAACGGAAAGAAGGTATCGTTTTGAACTATATTTCAAGATCTGGAAGTAACCCGTTACAAAATTCTTAAATCTAAAGAAAATACTGTCTGAATCTGCTTTAGGATCTGAAAAGGTGTCAGGCTTTGATTAAAAAACAGGAAGTCCTTTTCATGTTAAAAGTAGGTACGTATATGGTTCGTTTATTGTAGTTTACTTTTTAAACGGAATTGATAATTGCGAAAAAATAGCCAGCGAGCATTTTTAGCCTAAATAAAAGAGAGATAATACACAAGCTCACCGGCAAGCTCTAGACTAGCATAATTAAATGAGCAGTATTAGAACGAATGTATGTTAGTTAGAGAAGAAAGGTTTAATTTTGTTAAACGGCAAATGAGAGCGCTTACATTTAGGCACCTACTTACCCCCCCCCCCCCCCCCGCAAGACATCTTAATTTTTACTTCTGGGCAATAACGGTCAGCGATAGAGTTTCGTGCCGCGACTTATACTGTTTTTGTTCGTAGAAGGCAACGTATTCGGAGTGTCCCTGGAAACGCTGGTGCGCAAGGACATGATCCTTTGGGAGGAGACGTGGAGCTGCGTGCCGAGCGTGGTGCGCGCGCTCGCCGACACGCTGCGCGCGCGCACGCACGACGAGGGGCTGCTGCGCGTGCCCGGCAACAAGCAGAAGGTACTTGTCTATTTAACAATATATTTTTTTTTATAGATAGGTCCGACAAATGACTCCACCCCACCTGATGTTAAGTGACGGTGAAGTCCAGACGTAAAGATAGCTGGTACAGCAGTTCTACCTGCCACACCAGCCATCCTCCTACATGTTGCTTCTTCACGCCTCTTTTTAATGATCCCAGGTTGCCAGAAGTGAGCATGCAGAGCGTTCAATTTACGAATAGTGCGACAAAGAAATGAATCACCAAATTTCTTTGTACGCGTTGGAATTGTAATTCCGTGCTCTCCTATACTGTTTGTTGTACCATGCCCCGGATACATTTTTGACCAATAGGTAAGTACACTTTATTAGTCTGCCTGTAGCATATTACATGCTTTTTCCCTGACAAGAAAAATCTCTGTCCCGTTTTTTTTTTATCGCGAGTTCTTGGCAAGATAACTGTCGGCACGGTCTTTAGACCCGCGAATGAGCGTTGGCATGAAACGAATCCTTTTGTGCTATCGCATATATACATTTCTGGCGAGATCTTGTTAAACTATCCACTCCAATATAAGCTAAATAATTAAACTAAATACTTAATGAAAATCTTTCCGTTTCAGATCGAGAGTTTGTGCCAATTGATCGAGCGCGAGTGGTACGGAGATCGCGCAAGCGTGGAAGCAGCGTTGCGGCGAGCCAGCAGCCACGATGTAGCCGCTGTGTTCAAGCGACTACTGAGAGACTTACCACAGCCTCCCCTCACGCAGGAGCTCATGCGACTCTTCTACCACACATACGGTTAGTGTCACAAATTATATGTATGGAGGATAGTCTATAGCCACGACGTGGCCTCTGTATTCAAGCGACTACTGCGAGATCTACCCCAGCCCCCCCTCACGCAGAGGCTCATGCGACTCTTCCACGACACATTCGGTCAGTGACACAAATTATATGTACGGAGGATAGTCGGCAGCCACGACGTGGCCTCTGTATTCAACCACTACTGTGAGATTTACCCCAGCCTCTTCTCACGAAGGAGCTCATACGACTCTTCTACCACACATACGGTCAGCGTGCCAGCACGGGCGATGCAATAATTAATCCGCTTTATTGAAGTTAATAATGGAAATCGCTGGACTTAGTTGTCGAAGCGCCAACTGCCAGCTGATAGTAGCTCTAAATATTTGATGTGAGCCTTCAGTCATACAGTGGCACTCTTTCTTCGTCCATATTGATATGTGCCTCAGCCGGCAGTTTCCACCCGGACCTTTAAAGATGGTGCTTTTTTCTTGATTCGGAGACGATTTGTAGCGTGCTCGAATTCTTATACTATGAAAGATTGGATCTCTGAGCTCTGCTCTATCTCTGGTGCCAACAAGAAAGGGATTCTAGAAGATACCGTGGGAAACAGCACCGTTACCGTGTGCTGAAGGATCCATGAGTTCAGGAGCGGGTGCCTGGTGTTGAGAGAGGAGATGAGATGATAATGATAAGAGATCGAATGTACCGATGATCTGACTGGTTCTCTATTATTTCCACAACTCTCCAGCCCTGCACACGCGTCGCAATCGCCGGTGCCTAACACATGTTTATGCGTGCCTCTATGTGCAATTTCGAGCCACAAAATAGTCGCCTATTCAAAAACTGCATCACAATAAAATTTCATTTTTATGGCATTACGAGTATTAGGGACTAGGAAAAAAAATACTGAACTTAATAGACAAATATGTGTTTTATACAATAATGTTAAACGCAAGTTACAAATACGATAATTAACAAAAGATTTTCTTTGTCAAACCTTTGAAATGAAATATCTCATTTCTGTAATTGGACATTTAGTTGGTTTTCTTTATCTATGGTACTTAGTTACGCACAAATACTTTTTTATAACAATTAGATTCTAAACAGTCCCATATATTGTCCTCAGCTTTAAGCGGCACAACGCAAGGCCGTGTGCTAAACCTCCTCGTGTTGCTGCTGCCGCCAGAACAACGCGCGACGTTGCGCGAATTGCTGCAGCTAGCACGGCACATCGTCGCGCAACACCACCGCAACAAGATGACCGACCACAACGTCGCCATGATCATCGCGCCTGCATTATTCCCGCCCAGGTAATTTCATCACTTTCACAACCGTTTTCTTTTTTAAACTTATTACTAGCTGTGCCCCGCGGTTTATTAGGGATATTTTCCTATAGTAAAACGTAGCTGTGTCAATCCAGGGTGTCAGCTGACTCCATACCTACCAAATTTTATTAAAATCGCTCTAGCCGTTTACACGTGAAGAAGTAACAAACACACTCACAAACTTTCGCCTTTATAATATTAATGTGATAAGAGATTTGCCAATAAATCTTTTTCTATTCTCCTGAGACTCATGAGATTAACCTTTTCTAGAGGCGTATGCGTTAGCTGGCTCGATTTGATATAATATACATGCAACACGTTGGTATACGCTCTAATAAGCCGTCTGGCAAGATTAGAAAGCATTATTGTAGGCTGCTTTCAGTGAATCGATATTGGGGGTCTTAAACTGTTAATCCTTTATAGAAACTGGTGTCGACTCTGGCAGGGTGCTCTAAAATTAAAACTAAATTTAACAAATCTTTCTCTGTATAGAGAATGACAGGCAAACACTTTTGTCAATTATAAATTTAGGTTTAGAGAATCATCATCGACCAATGATTAAATTCATAAATAAAAAATATTTTGCGTGTACTGTTTTCTCCACGTTCACCTATCTATTCTCAACTCATTCAATAGAGTTATGTCTTGTCCGCAGTTTGTTGATAAAGGCGTCGGACAGCCTAGAGACGCAGCTAGCGACGGCTGCCAACAGCTGCCACGTGACTGAAGCATTGATGCGATGGTGCGACCGCCTGTGGACCGCGCCCGCCGCGCTTTTAACCGCCGCCGCCAGCCGCAAGCCGCCGCACCACCACCGCCGACCGCAAATCTGATCTAGCGCGCTGGTAGTCTGTTATACCGGACTAGCCACAGCTGCCACGCGACCGAAAAATTGATGCGGTGGTGCGACCGCCTGTGGACCACGCTGCTAACCACCCCCGTCGGCCGCACGTCTGATCAACCACAATAATAAAGGGCTAACAGAAGGCGAAGAACGGCGTGTGCTTTAACGCTGTTCGCACGTCGAAACGTATCCTTTAGCACCGTGCGCAATTTTAATCAACCGCGTTGATGGACTGTTATACTGAGCTCCGAACATGGTGTGCTTCATAACGTCTAACTGCTCACGTGAATACGTTGACACTACGCCCACGTCGTTGGTGAAAATTTCGTCGCGGGCTGTTTGTCGCCACCCGCACGTATGACCTACCACGTTGATATAGATAGTGCTATTCAAACTGAATGGCGACTTAGCGCAAGTTGGTAGCTAGCGCAATAAACGAAATGAAGGGTGATGTAGGTGCGTGCGGAACTGAAACCTACACATAGTTGGGCTCGCTGCAATATTCACAGGGGTCACTGGTTTGAATCGAACTATACCGGGCTTCAAAGGGGCGACAACACGATGTGCTTCTTCACTGCTCGCAAGTCTAACCAATCACGCTGATACATTAAATCTTTTTAGGGCGTGGAGTGTCAGCAAGTAAAAACATAGCTGCCAGTCGCCACGTACTATGCTAATTAACAAAAAATACAAAACGACGCGATAATGCACATATCGTAAGAACAGGCGAGTGCGCCGTTACGGTGTCTGATATTGTAGCAATCTCTTCTAGAACAGTTTGAATGCCGGTAAAGTTAATCAAGCAAACCGTCGAGTCTTTGTTAGAGACAAAGTACTTAGTAGGGCCATAGCTGGGGGGAGGGGGGGGGGGGGGGCATTATGGGGCAATGCCCTAACTCAAAATTCCATTGCCCTATCTTAAAACGGAGCGGAACGCCTCTAATTACCGATGCTGCTCCAACTTAAATACAATTCTGGCTACGGCACTGATACTTAGTTATCCATAGGACACTTATTAACTAATATGGTTAACGATATAAATAACTGATTTTAACGTCGTCGAATGCGGTATACATTAGTGTCATTTGTATACTTAATTTTTTATGGTTTATAAGCACAGCAAGAAGGCTTAAAGTTCCGAAAGATTTGGTGATATTTAATAAAACTGTGCCTTGTATATTTTGAACAATTCAATGATAGTGATAGTATGAATAATATTATTTAATGTAATATCAATATTTTACATATACTTACTCCGTGTTAATCTTGTAGTTAACGCATTTAGTGTGGTATAGAAAATGTGAATGAGATGCCAAATATTCATCTTATTTTTTAAATATAGTCATATTCAGGTAATTTACGAAAGGCAGTTGTATGTGAAATTGGATAAATTTCAATAAAATTAAAATGAATATTTTCATTTTGTCAAAAAGTAATGGTGCCATTGAACTGTTTGATTAAATAATATCTACAAAAGTTACCAGTTTGGCAATGTAAAGGTTGTATTTATTATGTGGTGCCTTATATTGCGATGATATTTATAAATATAAGTGTCAAAATTTAGAATTCCACAAAATCCTTATATTTTAATGTAAATAAATTTCTTAATAATTGAAATCTTTTTGTAAAATATTTTACCAATACTTTGACTAGGCAAGCAAAGACTGACTTGGTGTATTATTAATTATTAAATTGTAATGTTATTTCATAAGTGTATTTACTTCAATTATCAAATAAAATGTTTATTATTTAGAAAACAATTCTTTTTAATTCAACACTGTATGAGGCTTAAACCTAATACATAAATGTTATTAATACTTGAAATTCTTTATGAGATAGACAGCTTCATTGTCGGTACCACAGATAATTTTCCCTTTATCACAGTGTAATGTGTTTATGGGTTTATGCAAAGGTGGCATGAGAGAATTGACCATCATGGCGTTTTTCTCCTCAAGTGGCAGCCAGGTAGTTATCTGGTTGTCTGGCCCTTGTGTACTCTTTGTCATTCCTTCCATATTCCAGTCCCATATTTCACCTGACACTGAAGAAGTGAACAGCTTGTGTGGGTTTTCAGGATGAAATTGCATTTCTGTCACACCAGCAGAGTGTGCATTAAGTAGTGTAGTAGGGAATGAGTTAACACGTAAATCCCAAACAGCCAATGATCCAGATTCACTTCCAGCAAGAATTATATGTGGCTGAGTGGGATGATTCAAGATACAAGTAGCGGCCATTTCATCACCAGCTAAGAGGAATGATGCTGCTGGTTTGTTAATATTAGTTCTTAAATCCCATATCTTCATATGCCCCCTTAAGTTTCCAGTAATGACCTGCAAAATTTACAAATAAGCAATATTCCAATTATATAATAACACTAAGAAAAAAAATGCCATTGGCAAAAGATAGGCAAGCAAACGAAAAGATAGGTAGACAATCTTATTTCAGTTGTAGGAAGATACATGCCAAAAATAAAAACATGGTAATAATTGGAATAGGCTAGTACTTCAAAATAATTAAAATCAAGAGCTAAAAGCAACTTAGTGATCAGCAAATAATTTATGATAAATTGGAATATATGCATATTCTGCTGTCCTAATGAAGAACACAGTAAGAGCTCTGACATGATGATTTTGAGAAAATTGCTCTTCAACTTAAAACTTTGAAAGCCATTTTCTCAAAATCATGTCCGAGCTCTTACTGCATTCTTCACTAGAACAGCAGTTTTAAAGAAGAAATACTGACACCTCCATAATACAAGATCCCAGTTGAAACTGGTTCGTCACTCTGGGTGGGGTAAGATATTACCCCACCCAGAGTGATGAACCAGTTTGGCTACTCATTCTCAATAGGGAATGACCCCAAAATAGTAGTAACTAGAGGTGGACCCGCGACTTTGTCTGCGTTAACTTAGTTTCTTGAAAATCCCTCTAGAACCTAACATTTTTTCAGGATAAAAGTAGCCTATGTGTTAATCTAGGGTGTCAGCTAACTCCATACCAAATTTTATTAAAATAGCTCCAGCCGTTTAGACGTGAAGAAGTAACAAACATACACACTCACAAACTTTCGCCTTTATAATATTAGTGTGATTACTAGAACAAGATTTGAAAATAGAAACACCAACTTACTTCAGTATGTTTGATAAAGCATACGGAATGCAATGAACAGCTATCAGCTCCTACTATTCTATAAGAAATTTCTCCGCGCCTGCTGTTTAGAATATTAACATTTCCATCTTCCCCTATTGTTGCAATATCACCATCAAGAATATGAAGAGATGTACAGGAACACTGATCTAACCTAAAATTATCATTCATTGAATTTACTGAATACAAATCTGGGCTAATTTGTATTTCCAGGGCCCAAGTGGTGATACTTCACTATAGGTTAGGTTAGTGTTGTGACCACAAAAAAAAAACTTTTAAAAGAGACCTTTTCTACAAAAAATTCAAGTATCACCCTTTGGGCCCTGGAAGTACAGTTTTACCGTAAAAACTAAACTTCTGTTTTGTTGGTTGTAATTTCTCATTTTTGTTGTTAAAAAGGTTTCTGTTAACCACATTATTAAAAAAATGTCACACTTATGCACTGATAGTTTTTTAGAAAAAAGATATTGAAAATTTTTACTTTTCTTATCAAGAGGTGATTCTTCACACTAGGTTAGGTCAAGTTAGGGTTGTGACCATAACGCGCGAGCCGAGCGAGCAAAGCGCCAGAAAAAAAAATCTGTTAAAAAAGACCTTTTCTACAAAAAAAAAACAAGTATCACCTTTTGGGCCCTGGAAGTACAGTTTTACCAGGGCGAGATAATAGGAAAGTAAACTTACCCAAAATTGTGAAGATTTTTCCATGAATGGATTTCCCGCAAAGGCGACTTTTTATCATACACACTAATTTCTAGTAACTTGACGTCTCCATTCGATGTTGAAACTGCTATCTTAGTACTATCAACGAACTGTATTTCTGTTACATCACCATCTACGATAAATTCAGACAGTGGTCTAGGATATTCAATGTCCTCTTCTTCTTGATTGCTCTCCAAAGTCCAAACTTTTATTGAATTTACATCATCGTCCCAACTGCCGGTAAAAAAACAATTAGCTTCTATATATTCTTCAGGAATCCACCGGATTTTGTTGATTTTTTGAGAAACAAATGTGCCCTGCACATCAAGAGGCATTATTTCTTAAAAAATTGTGAAAATAATAAATAAATCAAAGGAAATGCGACAAATTGAGATGAATGAAATGAAATCACAAACTTTGTAACATATGGAATTTTTTTTTTTTGTAGTTCTCTCATGTAGAGGAAGGCTACGGGGAGAATGCCCATACAGCCCATCTTTAATTTTGTTTTTATTTATGTATTAAATTGTCCCTCCTTTTAAAGGAAAGCAAAAAATCGGAATTCATGCAGCATCGTCTGTATGAGATGTTAATGAAATATGATACATCTGCATTTCAATTGAAAAAAATACTAATAATAAGGCTGAATAAATATATTATCTACTGTCTTCCCATAAGGGAGATTATGAAAAAAAGTGAAGCCGGTTTTATATTTATTTGTCGGTTTTTATCAGAGATTTTGTCTGATTCTGATACACTTTTTGTTTTTCTTGCGATTTAAACACTGTTTAGATACTACATCTACAACAAAAGAATAGAAATTGGCCTGTGAACTAATTTATTCACAAGTGTAAGGTTCGAGGAGTCTTAAAGGGTTTTAAAAGCGGAACTAGTTGGATTGCAAGGTAAACATCATTGCTATTCAGGCTAGAAAACAAGCTGATCAATTTATCTGAGGTGATGATAATTTGCATATTTTGTCATATTTCAAATAATTATAAATAAATTAACATGTCTTGTTCAAGTGTTCTTAACTTTATTATGTACTTGTAACTATGTAAACATGGACTTATACGTCCATGTATGTAAACTTAATATAAATACGTAATAATTTCTAAGAAGAACAATTTTAGTTCATTAGCATTACATTGATAACAGTATTATAGCCAAGATTGTAAAATCAACAATAATAGAATAGAAATTTAAACTCTGCATGTATTTCATGAGATGTAAATTGTGTTGTGTTCAATGCTCGGAGACAATTAAAATGAGTGCCTCTGGCGATGAGTGTTGGCTGTTTTCATGCCCATTATACGGTAATTTCAGCTTTAACCTGTTGGTTACAAAAATTTGACATGGATGGAGAGGTTTTACAGCCAGCATTATCAGCTGCTTATATTGCTAGTAAATCTCAGAGTGTCAAAATACATGAAAGTGGGATTGAAAAACTTAGCGATGATGTAAGTAGATAGTTAATTTGGTTCAGGTTTCTATTAAGTTACAGTGATTTTATTACATATTTTATTTAACTTATAGATGCTAAAGTCATTTACTTCTGACAAACTGGAAATTCCTACAACTGGTGCTAACATAGTGTATCTGAGCAAAGAAGATGTTCGTGCAGTAGATTGGATTTTTGTAGCCGATGCATTGAATTTTTGCTTTTGGTCTTATTCTGATACTGATAAGTATACAGTTGAACGTCACAGTGGTTACTATGCATTAGAAGCAGCATTAAGCAGAGCATTGAAGGTATCTTAAGTCATAAATGTAATCTTATTTAAGTATATATATGTATATAAACTGAGCTTCACATGTATTACTTGAAAGTCTGTGACTTAGTACTCTTTTACATAAGGAATTATTTTTTTATACCACAGGCAAGCCAGCATCCAGAAATGTAGATGATACATAGTACAAAGCTAAATTATTGAAAGAACTTGCTTAATTGCTAGATTAATAACTGATAAATCAATTGCTGGATAAAATGTATTAATCTGATAGTGGTATCGATTCTGGCATGATTCTCTAGCTCTAAACATAAATTTGACAACAGTGTATCCCTGTCATTCACTATACAGAATGAAAAGGACAGACTGATCTTAAATTTAGTTTTAAGTTTAGAGAATACTGCCAGAATCGACACCATTGTATTACTATATGTACTAAATGGTGTTATGTTAATTTGTATAAATAACATAATCCAAAAGTTCCTTTTCAATGTGATTGAAGTCTTTTTTATGGGGTAATTACTTATACGGCAGATAAATTTTATCTAAAAAATTAAAATTAACCCCAAGTAACTTTGTTGAGGTGAATTTGTAGTAGTGATGTGAACATCCATTTAAATTGCAGTTGCTCCTTTGTAGCTCTGCCAGTTCTAGAAGGCATAATATATGGCATTAACAAAGGTTACTAAAGTAAATTACATTGTTGAACTATTTTCTTATAACTTTCTTTTGTAGGAAGGACATGATATAACAAACCCTGAGTACTATTCCAAAATAACTAAGGAACAACTTGCAACTATTGTGAGAGGAGATAATGATATTGCCATCCCATTATTTGAAGAAAGATTGTCTGTTCTACATGAAGTTGGCAAGATACTGTTAGACAAATATAACGGGTCTTTCAAAACATGTCTCAAAGAAGCTGACAAATCTGCTCTAAAACTTCTTAGGATTATTGTTGAGAGCTTTCCATGTTTTCGAGATGAAGCTGTTTATAAGGGCAAGCCAGTCTCATTTTATAAAAGAGCACAAATCCTAGTAGCAGATATTTGGAATTTCTATGGAGGGAAAGACTGGGGAGAATTTCATGACATTGATGGCATAACCATGTTTGCTGACTATAGAGTGCCCCAAGTATTGCTATATTTTGGAGCATTGAGTTATGATAATAATCTTATGGAACAATTAAAGAATGGTAAATAGTTTTGTTTATTTATAGCTAGATTGTTGTTTTGTTTTTCAATAAACTTATAATAATTAAGCTATATTTTGTACAGAGATGATGATTAGACTCTGGAGATGATTATAGGCTACTTTTTGATGTGAAAATGTTTTTTTTTTCAAGTAGCTCGAAGGTGCAGGTGATTATAGAGTTTGGCTTGTGATCATGGAAGTTAAGCAAATTTTGCCATGGTTGGTCATTGGATGGGTGATCAAAAACTTAATATCTTGAAGTCCTCCATGTTTCGGAAGCCAGGTTAAGCCGTTGGTCCCGGCCGCATCTGCAGTTGTTAGCACTCACCAATCTGCATAGGCCCACTTGATGGGTCACAGTTCAATCTCTATTCCAGCCATAGGGAAAGACTTCGCTCCAACAGTGGGGACATTCAAAGGCTGTGATGATTAAATTTATTAGTTTTTTTCTTTTACAGATGTACTTTTACCGAGTGGGTCAGAGGAAGAGGTGGAGATACGAGGTTGCTCCATACATTGTGTAGAATTATTAAAAAAGAAAATTAAAGAAAGGATAGAGAACAGGCCAAATCTCGAAGTGCCTAACTCATCGCTAATTGATTATTATCTTTGGTGCTACAGGCGGAAGTATGCTGATGAGATGGAAAAGGTGCCTTTCCACAAGACGCTGGGAATATTTTATTGATTTTTTAAAACTTTATTAAACAATACAAATTCGATTCTTATGGAATTATGAAATTCTCATAAAATTCATTTGACAGAAAATAGAGAGGAAGTTAAAACAATTTCGTGTTCTAGACCTGCAAAAACATTGAACAAAATATTTTATTGTATGTACTTACATACTTACTATACAAATGTAATCTCGCTACGTGCGCAAGTAGTTATATGGCTACCATTTTAGGCAACGATCGCCGTGTCATTTCTACCCACTCTCCCCTTTATAGTAGTTTTCCTAGGGACTGTTTAGTTGTTAAGCTTCTCCCACACCTGCGTGACGAAGCTTCGGGTGACTTAGGTACTAAATACGCTAAAAATTTGCGTTCGAAATTTGAATTAATTCTGTCGTAATAAATTAGCGGACTGCATGTCTATAGGCGATAGACGATAGCAGTTAGTTGGTCTTTAGCCTGTATTCGGTTATTTCAAATGCGCAAAAAATTTGCGTTAGAAAAAATTAGATAAATTCTGTCGTAATAAATTAGCGGACTGCGTATCTATAGGCGCTAGACGATAGCAATAACATTTGGTCATTAGCCCGTATTCGGATGCACGAATGACATTTCTCGAATTTGGACACCCGAAGCCATATTTACACTGGAATACGGGCTGGAAGACGGTGTCAGGTAAACAAAAGGAAATTTACCCGAATACGGGATTACTCGATTCTCTTCATTTATCATTTACCCGAATTCCATTGGGACCCGAATACGGGCTAGCGACCAAATGCAATTGCGGCACAAAAGAGGTTGTGGAAATCGAAAAAATTGTATGTACAGCTGAAGGAGCGTTCTTAATTCAAAGTTCGAATGCTAATTTTAGTGCATTTTAGTACGAAAGCTACCCGAAACTTCGTCACGAAGGTGTGGGATAAACATGAGAGGATGTTTCCAAAACGTAACATCATGCATTTTGTAATAACTTAGGTGTACTACCTACCCGTTTGTTTCGAGTTGGTCGTCGATGACCGTTACAAAATGTGTCACTGACACATTAACTGGTAGCGTCGAGTAGATAGATAGATAGATAGATAAATTCTTTATTGCACACACAAAAGAATACAAAAATAAGGAAACAATTACATAATGTGGGCAAAGGCGGCCTTATCGCTTTAAGCGATCTCTTCCAGACAACCTTTGCGGTAAAGGATAACTAAATGAAGAGGAAGTATGGTTGACTAATAGGGTCTGTCAAGGGCAATTCATTTATTATATAGTATAAGTCGCACCGCGAAGCTCTAGCGCTGACCGTTATTGCGCAGAAGTAAAAATTAAGATGTCTTGGGGGGGGGGGGGGGGGGGGGACGAGGAGCGCGTGTGGGCGTGCGTTGCGCCGATTGGCTCTCCAGTCGTACCCATGCGCAGCTATCCCGCGTTTTGTTCAGCGCTAGAGTTACGTGCCGTGACTTGTACGTAAGTCGATTTAGGGGGGGTTGACCATATCGCAACGGACGCGAGCTACACGCACTGCGCCTTTAAAAAAAACTGAAAAATAAACATTCAAATCAACAAAGCAAAGGTGTATGTAAAAAAAATCCTTTAGACTTACGTAATAAATATTTAACAGGGGAGCGGATCGGCCTATTTTTATTTTTCCTGTAATAGGGGGAGAAGGGGTCAACAACCAGCGAAAATAGTCATAGGTAATAAATGAATGGCGCCCAAGGAGCGTAATGCGGTGAGGCGGGGAGGGTGGGAGCAGCCAACTCGAAGCGAACATGTAGTAGGTACATAAGTTTCAAGGGTTAATGACATCCCAAAATTTTTACCATACATAAATTGTAAGATGTTTTGATACAGGTATCAAGTTAACTACTAGATATATATGTATATTTATATTTTTTTGGAATCACCGTCGATTTTTTTCTAGTAAATATTTTATTTAGATTGTAAGATGACATACATATCATGTTAATTCAAAAAAAAATTGAAGGCTGTTGACTATTCTTAAAAAAATAAATTTTATTTCTGCATTATGTTAAATAATTATATTTAAAATACAATTAATTAATCTATAATGTACTTAGGTAGGAACATACTTATATTTTATTATTATATATTTTCTTACGTACTAAGGTTATGTAATAAAAAGCTTTTATTAATCAGGATTTTTATTGATACAAGTATCAACATTTTACAAAATTCTGTAACATGATGGTAGTCTTTATGTATGAGATGATAATAATATTACTTATGCATTTATAATATTGAAAATGTATCACATCAATTCAGTGGTCCCTACGTTTAAACTCTTTAAGTCATTTTTTTATTACTAAATGAATTAAATTGTCCACTAACTAAACTAATTATGGGCACAACCATTAAACGAGAAGAAATACCCAATAGTATTTATAATTCCTTCTTTTATTTACAACTTTGGCGTTGAATCTAAGTAACGACTTAAATAATGAAAATGATCTAAATGATGTTTATGTAAATGGCACTTAATATTTACATGTTTTAGAATATTATATAAACACCCTATACAAATTCTATAACCATCCAATCCAAATCCAATGACAATATAATTAACTTAATATAACTAGAAAAGACAAAAGCCCTTTTCGTTTCCTACTATTTCTCATACTACCACCTCGTTTTGCGAGTGACTTAACTACCCAGAATTGTTTACAGCTTAATAAACAAGTTGTAGTTATGTCCACTACCAAATTACGATATTTGTATCGCTTTTGAGTTGAAATAAAAAGCAGACATTTATGTAAGTAGGCAAATTGATTCTGCAATTACCTCTGAATTGGTAAGAAATGTAAAAATATGTGTCGGGGGATATCAACCAACCAATATCAAAGGGTACATTACATTATGTATATTAATGTATACACTTATATACATGTGGGCAATGTTAGTGTAACCAATAAAGGTAATATAAATTGTGATAACAGCAACCAAACCCGATTTTACACTTGATTCAAACGATCAGAGAACGCGAAAACGATGGATATTTTATTTTTCAATCTATCGATCGCATCAACGATACATTATTCATAATAAATTCTGATGGTTAATTTCATATTTATAAAGAAATGATTAAATTTAAGTAGCTTAATACCTATGATATGACAGCAAGTATTTGAAACAAACACACTATAAATAGCTAATACCTAAGGAATTCAGATTTGTTAGTTTACTTTTCATACGGATACGGACGGGAGTATATAATGTACAAAGTACAAACAGAAGGGTCCTCGGAGACCACAATACTATTACTATAGTAATTTTTGTTACTAACGGAATTGTTACCATATATCTTGTTTTTCGAAGTCACCGATATTTCGGCACTGTTGCAAGGGCCATGATCACTGAGTAACTGTAGGCCTATTCGCTAACTGCTTTTGACAGATGGTAGTGATAACCAGCTATTTAGTGATCCAGCACGCTTTATTATAATTCCATTAAGATACTTGTTCTGAAAAGCATCGATGGATATGCAATTTTCTCTTTAGTTACATACTGTAAATGTCAAAAAAGTTATCGAACAAGTCGGCAGATTGTGATCACGTAACTCCGCGATCATGGCGCTTACAGCAGTGCCCAAATATCAAGGACTCTAAAAAAACAAGGTACATGGTAACAATTCCGTTAATAACATACTATAGTGTTGGTGTTTAAACCACGGAAGTTTAAACCAATATACCACAATTCTATTTGTTGTTAAATTTCGACTTGAGACTTTCGAAGAACGCTAACTTAGATTTGATTGTACCAGGTTCCGGTAGTGGGCTGCCTGGTCTACTCGATTCTTTGACAACTTCTTCAGTGCCCTCTGGGATTTCTTTTGATCCACCAGGAACTGTCAGTGGCGTCGCCATGGAAAGCTTCAGTTCCTCCCTGAATTCTTTGGATATGCTCCTGGCGGTCAGACTGTGCATGTATACTAGTTTATTTGTAGGCTTTTCGTTATCACCGTTTAATAAATTCTCTTTGCTTCTACGCCGCCAAGAATATGGTTGGGGGAGCTGAAAAATAATCAAATATTTAGGTTAAGAAAGGATCCCTATTTCCCTTGGTCACGCGCCATACCTTGAGACCGACCTTAGCCTTTGCCATATTTGCCATCTATTTATTAAGTTTTCTATTACTTTGTAGAATGATCTTGAAGTTGCGAAAACCCGAATTTTAGAGGGATGAAGTCACGAGCGAAGGCTAGTTTTTTCATATGCAATTGCAATGGCTAGTACTTAGTGTATCTAATAACTGTGGACTTTTCATTTATAATTTTTGTTTTGTAACGAAACAGCACCGCAATCAATGCGTAAACATTTGCACGCATGAACTTTAACCTGATAAAATATAGTCTTTGTTACTCAGACATAATTTAGCATTCTAATGATAATGGTGAAAGAATGTCTGAAATAGGTCCAAATGTTCTTGAGGTTATGATAAAACAAATCTTTTCTGATAAAAATTAATTAAATTAATTATGAATGTTTTAGGACATTAGTTCTAGTTCGTCATTAACTTGAGAATTTCTCAGTTTAATTCAGAGTCAACGCATGTTATTAGGAATAATCTTCTAAATTAAAATTCTTAGTTCAATAATGCACTGAATGAAAGTCACTATATTCTACATACTGCAGAACTAATTGTATCTATTTTACTAATCTATAACTAATATGATAAAAAGCTATTACCTATCTGATAACAATTAAATCATTTAAAAATAGTAGATTGATTAGGCACTCACCTTAGTCTGTTCATTAAGATTATCCATGCTCACGAATTTCTTTGCTAATTCTTTTACTTTAGGAAGCTGGGAAAGGATATCATCGACTTCACTATATTGTTCTTCAGGCGCGTCTTCCTCAATCTGTTCTTTGATTTCCACTGTTTCCTCGGTTACTTCAATGTGTGCAGTGAATTTGTCATCGGTTTCCTTTAAGACGTTCTTATCAGTAATATCGATTTTGTTGTTGGTGTCAGCCTCAGTCTCGTATCTCGGTGATATGTTATCTTCCGGCTTACATTTCATTATCTCGCCTGTTTGCACATTGTATATTTTAATGGAGTCTTCCAAACTACTGGAACTTATGTAAGATTCGTCTACGCTGTGATTAGTTGGTGATTTTTCAGGGTCTTCCATTTCTTTATTTTCTATATTGAGTAGAGGTAAGTTGGGCTCGTATGCAGATTCTAATATTTCTTGAAATTTTTCGTCTGTATCATCATTTGCATAAGCTGGTGTTGCAGAAAATACTGTATCAACATTGATGTCTTCGTATTCGATTAAAATCATATTGCTGTTACTGCTAGACTTTATAGTTATAGAGTCGACAGTTTGGTCTACGTTGAATTTCGTGTACTGTTGATTAGTAGCAATTGAGTTAAACTGCTTTATAAGAAGCCCCTGAAATTTTTAACAATCAGTTGGTACAATTATTTAACATGCAACAGTAATTGGTAATAACCAATAAATATGATGCATGAAATATAATTGGGTAACATATAAAAATACAATTTCAGTCTAGACACGCTACACAAAGTAGGTCCTATTACCTGGTAGGTACCTATATAGTAGGTATAGAGATTTTTAAGAGCCCAAATCCGTGCTTATTGTTAAATAAAGATGTTAGATATTAGTTAAAGAATACTGTGGTAATGTGCGAACAGGATTATTAGTCGTGCGAATTTAGCATTATTAATTAGTTTTGTGTTGTTATTTTCTACCTAGGATAGATTATAATAAGTATAAAATCTAGAATGTTAATATAAATGATTAAAATAAAGCCAATCTTTATTACAGCGTTTGTTGGAAGACAGAAAGATTTATTAGCAGATTGTTATTGGGTTTAATAAATTTAGTTGCAAGCCTCCCAATATTGTAAGTTATAAGTTCGCGAAAATTATACAACACTCACCACTAATTTGTCGGTTGATTACTGCAGTATTATTATTACTGAAATTGGTATTAAGAAGAACAAATATCTATGAGTGCGGTTCTAGTAATACTTTCACAATCATAATGTGCAGAGTGCTGTTAGTCAGCGTTTAATAAAACAACATGCCACTCAACTCGGGAACACAACAAGCAATTTTTGTTGTGTCAAAACGAAGATATGGATAAACAGAAAATTAGTTTTATTTCTATGTCCGCCACTAATTGGATTAAGATGAAAATTTTAAAGTACTTTATAAATTAAGGAAAATATTAGCCCTGATCAGCTATGTATGTATCGTACATAGTATAAGAGATTCGTATTGCACAGAGTTATTATATCGGTAGGAATGATTTACATAGTCAGTAATCGTGTTTAATGGGAAGATGTGTAGGTATTAGGGGTTACATTTCACCAGAGATCGGTATGAAAACCCTTGCTTAACCTTAAACTTCCACCGAATGTGTAATTGAGACCTGGTCGACGCTTCGAGCGAACACACAAATCTTCGCTTCTCAGCGTGTTGCTTCGCCTAACATTGCTATACGTCTCAAATAAGTCTTCAGTTATTTCTGGTTTTACTGGTATTTTAAGTCTAACTATATCCTCGTGTTCCACATAACCGTCACCTTCACTGTATACGTGTTTACTTTGCAATCTTACGTTGGCTTTTTGACTAACATTATGTTTGTCTGTTGCATAGGTTTCATCAGCGTTATCGTTTTTGTCAGGGTTTTCGAATATAGGATTAATGGCGAAATTAGGGCTTGCGTTTCTGGGGCTGAGCACGGCACGGACGATGTTCTGGTGGAGGGAACAGGCTTCAAGATCGCTCAATGAACTGCTAGCACTTACAGGCGTAGCGAATTCAGTTTCTATATTGTCTAAGCTGCTTGACTTGTTAAGCGACGATAACGAACTTAAGTCGCTGACTGAGCCATTCCTCTTGCGACCACCGGAAGATGATTTCGCCTCTTTAATGTAATAATCTCTCCCGTATCTGAAATGAAAAAAAAAAACACTTTCACATTACCTAAATTAAGCAGGAGCAACTTCTATGATCAGCAAAGTGTGGAGATGTTTCAGTTGGTACTTAATATTTATAGAAGAAGCTTCGTACTCATGTGTAAATGTATTATACTAACGTTTTAGCGTATTTTTACCTAGTTACCTACCGTTTGTATTGTGGTACTTCTTCTGCTAACACATCTTTTAATATTTTAGGTGATGGGCTTGCAACTCTGTTATTAGAGGGTTGTATTTTTTCAGTATCTATAGAAAGCAATGGCTTGTTTGTCGCAATGGTATCTCTTTCTGGTATATTTTCTGAATTACTTTGGGTTTGGCTGCCATCTACTTCATCCAACGATGTTATTGTATCGTCATCTTTGACTGCGTTTTCTTCGTTATTTTTTGTTATCATGTCAAAAAGAGACGAGGTACTTTTAGTCGACAGCCTCTTTTTTATAGCTTCTGGTGAATATGGATTGTTAGGCATTTCAACGTAGTTTAACCATTTCTTACGCTCTCGGTATGCAATTGAACCTAAAAATGTGCGAAGTGATTTATTTTTAGCTATTTGTTTTAATCATAGGGATAAAATATTAATCATATTAATTCGATTATTACCTGGTATCAGGCCGTCCACTTCTTTATCAGTGTCTCTGGTTGGTATCCTAAAATGAAATAGCTTTATGTAATATCATACTTTATAATGCTAACGCTACCCAAGTGTACAATGTGCAAAGTCTACTTACTGTTGTGGTTCATCGTCGAAATGTTTTCTGCGCAAACTATCGGCGTACCTTTGCACTGGTATAGTTACTGTTTCTTCATACTCCCCTTCACGTTCGTGATGACTTAACGTATTTGTCGATCCTAAGATGAGTTTGTTTGTTAATTATATTTATAGAAAAAAAAAACTAATATTTGCTTAAGTTATTAATTCTACATTCAATTACCTTTCATATTTGTTAAACTATCTAAAACATCAGAATTCTTCGCTGGATCTAATTTATCAAACTGGAACTCACTGTCGTTACCATTTAAAATAGTTCTATGAATTTCTTCTTTCAATGTAAACTCGGCTTTTTGCGGTGGGCCGCTGTTAATTCCTAGTATTAGTATGGAATCGTGTTCGTCATCGAAGTCATTAGGACCATTAAAATTATCTTTTTTTTCTACATGTGTGTGGTTGTCTTTTAATTCATTGTTAATAGCGTGTGTAATATTTTCCTCTTCTTGCATATTTTCCTCCATTTGATTAAACTCTTTTGTATCTTCTAATATTGTCAAACTATCTGGTTCAAAGTCAAGTTCCTCTAATTTTGGCTTGCCGCCAATAACGTGTTTAGAGTCTAGTACCCTCTTGATATCGCTTTTATATTCATGATCTTGGTCTTCTTCGGGGTCGCTAGCATTATCAGACAGGTCTGTTGTATCGTCTGCGTCTCTATCTCCGATTAAGGCTCTGTAATCAGTGTTTGAATTTGGCACCAACATAGGGACTGGTACAGATTGTATGGTCTTAATCTTTTTCTTCTGGAAAAGCCAATTTTCTTCCCAAGTACCGTCAGATGCTTGTATGTCACTTCCGGATACTTCATCGAAGTCACGATCTTTGTTTTCTGTAAAAAAATATGCAGGTGACCATAAAAATTGTGTTCCATTACACGTAGTAGCTTCTCATATTGTATCCATTTATTAGTCAAATATAATATTTTTTTATGTCTTGTGTATTTATCTTTAAATTTAGGTGCCCTGCGGTTTCGACCGCATTAATTTGAGGAAGACGGTTATAGAAGGTCCCCTTAAAAGATAGGCATTTGCTGTCGCGTATTTTTTTATAGAACGTTTAAAGGGGAACATATACATGATTTTTGTGCAACTTTTGCCGTTTATGCAGCGCACGCAACGGAAACTCACAAATGGATTTTTTCCCCGTTTTTGCAACATTTTTCATTGGTGCTGCTATGTTAGATAGCCTTCTCGGTATATAGAATATCAAACCAAAAAGAATTATTAAAATTGAACTATTAGTTCCTGATATTAGCGTGTTCTACCAAAGAGTCAAAAGTAGAAGCAACATGCAGGCCGGCAGGGTGAGGATGGCTGATGTGGCGGGTAGAACTGCTGTACCGGCTATCTTCGCGTCTGGACTTCACCGTCACTTAACATCAGGTCGGATGGAGTAATTTGTCTATGAAAAAAAAAACCAAAGAAACTCTACAGCTTTTCAATATTAGTATTGATAAAGATTATTCTTATACCTTGATGTACGATGTCTCCTCCAAACTCTGGGAATGGGACCCGCCTTGGTAGCTCCACAGCGTCTTCTGTTGCTTCGCCTTCTTCCCAGTCGGAAACATCTTCTTCTTCACGAAGCTGTAATTCGATAGATATACAACACATAA